GATAAGTCTATTTTTAGTTTTTTGAAGAATCTCCATACTGCTTTCCATAATGGCTGTACCCAACTACATTCCCACCAGTAGTGTAGGAGGGTCCGCTTTTCTCCACACCCTCTCCAGCAGTTAACATTTCTGGACTTCTGAATGATGGCCATTCTGACTGGTGTAAGGTGATACTTCATTGTAGCTTTGATTTGCATTTCTCTGATAATTAACGATACTGAACATTTTTTCATGTGCCAATTGGTCATTTGTATGTCTTCATTGGAGAATTGCTTGTTTAGGTCTTCTGCCCATTTTTGGATTGTTTTTTAATTATTATTATTAAGTTGTATGAGCTGTTTATATATTCTGGAAATTAAGCCCTTATCAGTCTCATCTTTTGCAAATATTTTCTTGCATTCCATAGGTTGTCCTTTTGTTTTGCTTATGGTTGCCTTTGCTGTGTAAAAGCTTATAAGTTTAACTAGGTCCCATTTGTTTATTTTTGCTTTTATTTCTATTTCATAGGTAGACTACCCTAGGAGAACATTGCTAAGATTTATGTCGGATAATGTTTTGCCTATGTGTTCCTTTAAGAGGTTTATAGTGTCTTGTGTAATGTTTAACTCTTTAAGCCATTTGGAGTTTATTTTTGTGTATGGTGTGAGGGAGTATTCTAACTTCATTGTTTTACATGCAGCTGTCCAGTTATCCCAACACCATTTGCTGAAGAGACTGTCTTTTCTCCATTGTATGTTCTTGCCTCCTTTATTAAAGATTAATTGACCAAAAGTTTGTTGGTTTATTTCTAGGCTATGTATTCTTTTCCACTGATCCATTCTTCATTTCTGATTGGATCTTTTTAAAATTTTCTAATTCCTTGTTAATATCACTGTGTACATCAATTCTTTCCCTAATTCCTTTAGCACTTTTATTACCAATGCTTTGAATTCTTTATCTGGTAAATTGTTTATTTTTGTTTCACTATTTTTTTAAAGGATTTTCTCTTGCTTTTTCAATTACGACTAGTTTCTTTGCCTTTTTATTTTGCTTAACTCTCTCTGCCTCTATAAATTTGGATGAAACAATTACCTATTGTGGTCTTGAAGGGATGATCTTAGGTGGGAGCATCCCTGTACATACTGCATGTGCCCAGTGCCTTTGGTGGGAAAGCTGAATTTGACATGCACGCAAGTCACATATTTCCCCAGGGTGTACTGGCAGCTCTGACCTTGTTAGGGGGTGGAGCTGGAGATCGAGGGGTTAGCTAGGGTCTCCCCTCTATTCAGTAGCCATCATTGTCCTATCAGGGGTGTGGTCTGTTCCAAAATTGTTTGAGCAGAAGCCCTGAGCACTGAGCCCAAGCTGTCTCTTTCCCCATTAAGTGTGTCTTTTTCTCTCTTCTTGTACCAGAACCCTAGCCCCAGCATGGTGGAGTGATGAAATTAAGTGGGGCCCATGTGGGCTCTCAGCTTGTGTAGGCCACAGAATAGTTCTGATATTCTACCTGTCTAGGCACCTGCAGCTCTGTTCAGAGGCAGTCTTGGGTGCAAGTCCCCTTTTTCCCTCACAGCTTATCACTGATCCAGCCTCTGCCATCCTCACTCTCTTGTGGAATCACTCTACATGGAAGGCAGGGCCCATGTGGCCTCTTGGCTTGTATCAGGGGTGAGTTGTGGTGGACCGGCCACCATTAGAGATCTGGACTGTTTATGATGTAATGTTTGTGTAAGTGCTAACAATGGCCAGTGCTGCCCTACCCATGTCTGCTCTGGGGCCAGGTCTCCTCTGTATCCCACAGTTGAGTCTTTTCCCCAGTTGTGGTCCCCCAAATCTAGTGCCGCATTGGGATGTGGAGTAACGAGCCAGAGCATGTGCTCAGCCCAGACTTGGATGGCAGTGATGTAGTTGTAGGAAACCTTGGCAACCACTTTAACAGATTTTTTTCCACCCGGCCTAGAAGCAAGCCAGCAGGCAAGAGCTCCTTGCAAGTAGATTCCAGGCTCCTCACAGCCCTACTGTTAGTCTCAGTGGCCTTCTAGCCAGACAGAGGAGTTTGTCTCCCCCACATAGGACCCCGGAACTGAGATGCCCAATCTGTGACTTGGATTGCTCATTCCCCAGGGTAAGTGTCCTCAGGTGTAATCTCCTTTTTCCTCTGAGTCTTCTCCCAGGGGCATAGGTCTTGAGCTGATCAGTTTTGTTCCCTTCTTACCCAATTATGTGTGGATCTTTCTTACAGCTTTGATTGTACAGGAATTGTTCTGCCAGTTCCCGGCTTTCAGTTAGAATTGTTCCACATGTAGATGTATTGTTAATGTATTCATGGTAGGAGATGAGTTCCACATCCTCTCAGTCCTTCGTTTTGATCCGAACCCCTGTCTTTCTCATTGTTAATCACATGGAACAGTCACCCTATGGAGAAGTGTGTGCTTTTTCTGCAGACAAATAGACTAGTCTTCATTCTGGGAAGAAAACTCTCTGGAGCTCCATTTAACCTTGTGTTTTTCATCAAGATGCTATGAAGACCTATTAGGGCCTGGGGTACAACAAATTGGGCATAATGACCTCAGGCTCTGCTGCTTATAGCAAGGACATGCCTCTGTGTTAGCCTATTGGGAAGGATAAAATGTCTTTGATGTTTAAAAGGAAAGAATGCAGAAAAGGGGAAAAAAAAAAAAACCTCTCTTATTTTGCATAATATGTCCCCAAGACAAAGTGATAGAATATCTTCAATCTTCCACACACATGTTCTTTGCCCGACTTTTATTGACTTTTCACCTTCAAGATTATTAAATTCAATTTAACTTGTTTCCCCAATCTGCCACTGCAAAAAAGTTCATTCCTAGTCAGGTTTTTTAAGGCCCTAAAACTCTTGAGGGATTTTATATCTAATAAGAATATTCATTAAATATTTTAAATGAAAGTTGATAGTTAAATATAGTACATAAACCATTTTTTTCCCTCTTAAGGAAATGATCCAAGATTGACACAAGGTAGCTCTCCAGAGTTAATCTTAAGGAAAATTCTGAAAGACTAACGGAAGACTCCACCAATGATAGTATGTCATAAGGAAATGATTTTAATAGAATATTTGCAGTTGAAATGTCATTGTCAATAAATCTAGAATAAACCAAGGCATTGAAAGCCTCTTTGTTTTTATTTTTCACTTGTGCCTGGAGATGGCATAGAAATCTGCACAGGTCTCTGAAGATCATTTTCAAGAGAAACTCAACATGGAGGAATACGTATCAAGTGGAATGAAAGATCAGCAATGCAACTTTTATGAACTCAATAGAGTCATCATTTGTTCCAGACCAAGTTGTTCATTTTCTGTTGCACAGATTTCATTTTGACCGTAATAAGAAAATAGCATATTCCTCTGTGTGTGTGTTTTCTTCTCTGAAGCTGTAATATTAAAAAAGCATAAATCAAAGTTGTTTTGACAGATGAACAACACAATTTTGTAACAAGATAGAAACAAAAAAAAAAAGAAAGAAAAGCTGAATAGCTGATAAAAGATGAGTTGAACTAAGAGGATTGATGTTAGAGCTGAAGGCAGCATTAGAGATTAGATGCTCATTGGCTTTTCAGCAAGCCTGGTGACTCATTCTACATAAATGAAGTTTGTGATATGTAATGAAAAGCTTTCTATCTTCACTGCAAGCAAATTAGCAGGTATTTTGTGGCAGGAATGTTAATGCTATCTTGCATTTGTTTCTGAGCAGGAGCACATTAACAGAGCAGGTTTGAAAAAAATTTTCACTTTTATAACATCAGGTGCTGAAGGTATTAGAACAAGGTCACCTCTGTAAAGTAATGAGGGAAAATTAGGTTATAAACATGCAGTGCCTAAAAATATATTCAGTCTGTTCTACAGCATGAATGCAATGTAGAATTGCCCCAAAGTGCTAATTCTCTTTTACTCCAAATTACACTCAGGCCACCAAATGAATCCAAAGAGTTAAATAATAAAGCAAGGCAGAGTAAAGGAGGATTACTAGGGCTCATAATAGGCAGTCTGTTCAAATCAATAGTGTTCAAATGTCTGTACATACACACATCTCAGTTCATAATTTATAAATCAAGACATTTGGAATGTTTTATGCAATAAACCTCAGAGATCCACAGTATCTGTTTGGGAGAAGTACTATGGCAGAGAAAGGCAAATGAAAGAGAAAGGTAAAAGATTGCTTATTTTGGGTGATCATTAAAACATAAGAGAAAGTTGAGTGTTTGCTGAGAATTCTATAACGATTAGTAGCAATGAGCTAGAAGATAAAATGACAATAAAGCTCTTGAAAACTTGGGATAATAGGAGTGTCAATGATTCTGTTTTTTTTATGAATATGAGTAAGAGACGGGATGGGTAATGGTATACGGAAGTACCACCAGATCTAGGTAATCTGGTCTTGGGCAGGATATCATCTTGTATGATGGACCATTAAGTCACCAGTGATCTGACTTTTGATATTTGGGTAGTCATTCTTGCAGCTTTTCCCAGACATGCTGATACAGTTTCTCATTTTGCCCTAAATATCAATACACATGCATAACCTCCTACCTCTTAGGCCATAGTTTTTGCCTTATTATTTACTTATACAACTAAACTAAAGGTTGTTATGATCAACTTCATTTTGCCCTAGTACGGTGAGGCTATAGGGTGATTAAAATACAAGAAACCAACCTTGGCCTTCATCTACAAAAATCCTTCAGTGTAATATAGCAATTTAATTACTTAATTAATCAATTACCTATAAACAGAAAGGTGAAAGAATGTTTTGAATAATGGATAGTGAAATTTTGTTGAATTAGTTATTTATTTTCATAAGAATTTAATTATAAAATAAAATGAATTGCTGGATATAATAGCTACTTTTTAAAAACTCTGTGGACCAGAATCAGTGACTGGTTCATATTGGTTGTATCCAACATGGAATTTAGTGTGTCTAGAATTTATAATATTAGATTTGGCCTAATAAAGGATTAAATCATCTCATCTAAACTTTTTTATTTTGCAGGTAAAAAATCTGAGACTTGGAAAGATGAAATGACTCATCCAAATTCACAAGGTAACTGCTGACAGAGTTATAGAAAACTTGAACCTAAGTTGTTAGGTTCTTGTTTTGTTAAAAACAAAACAATAAAAATGTTTCTTTTATTGATTAGTGCAGCATGCTTCTTAAGCTTGACTGATTTTTGGTGTTACTAATGTTTAGGCACCACTCCAGGCCAATTAAATTCAGAATCTATGGGAATATGGTGCACCCTGCAAATTTTTATAACTTTTCTCATGATGTAATGCAGAGCCAGGACTGAGAAACAATGGTCCACTTGGAGATTCATTAGAAAATTTTGCAGTTCCTTTAGCCCAGGACTAGAGTGCTATTTTACCCAGAGTAATTTTGAGAGGAAAAACTTAGCAAGTCCGTTTAATGATTAGCATAGAAAGTGCCCTCTGTCTGTCTCCAGTGTTTCTGTCATGTATTCAGTTAACAGCAGGATATGTATCAAGGAAAAAGCCAGTGTTAAGGTAAAGGAGATCTCATTTTTGAAGCAGTCTTTAAAATGAGAGGTCTGGCAAGATGAAACTCAGAAAATAAATCAATGCTTGTCTAAAGGTTATAGAGTAACTTGGTAACTATTTGAGCTCTAGTGATTACAAGATCAGAAGATTAAAAAATAACCCTGAGGGTGTGCTTTAGGAACCATTCCCTCTGAAGATATATGGGAGATTTATGATTGAGTTGAAATCATTTTTGATTGGAAATAACTCCGACTCAGCAAGAACATTAAAGTAGAAATGGCGGGAAGAATGTTGTCAGAGAGAATATGTTCTTTATTCACATTCTAAAGGCTAACCATTTACCACTGAAAGAATAAGAACCTCCTAATAAATTAATACAGCAAGTAATAGGAAGCCTAGCAACCAGAAAAGTGCTTACTGTCATCAAGACAGGTTAAGGGATGGGATCAGACTACAAAGGAGATCAAGGTCATCCTGGAACTCAAAGGCTTACATTTGACTCAAATACACAAATGTTTGAAAAGTTAAATAGCAAAAAAAGAGATAATTTACAGTCTAATGCTATCATAGATGATCAGTTATACGGCACTTAGATAGTTATGTGAATGTTTAGAAACTAAGTAGTTTTGAGGGTTCAGAGGCAAAAAGAACAGAGGTTCCGAATGATCGTCTTCCAGATAAAATCTAAATACCTTGTAACATGATAACATGAAAAATATAGGTCCTTATTTATCTTTCCATTGACTGTTTTTTTGTTTTTATTTTTTTAGCTTTATTTTTCAGTATTTCCCACTTAATGTTGCTCTTAATGCTGGGGGTGGGGGAGAGAAAGGACAGTAAGTGTTGAAACTAACCTTTCTGACCTAGCCATCCCTAGCTTTTTACAAGAGAAAAGATGCGCATAGTTGCCTCATTTATTATATTTACCAATATAATTTTCTTGCCCTCTCTTGTTTGATTAAAAACTTCCTCTAGCTATGTGACATGATAAATGCTAACTAAACTTACTGTGGTAATCATTCCACAATATACGTAAGTCAAACCATTATGCTGTATACCTTAAATTTATACAATGATATATGTCAATTATGTCTCAATAAAACTAGAGAAAAAACAAATAACTTTCTATAAAAGGGGTATAAATTGCTGCAAACAATTGTAAATCTAATTATATTTGAAAAGGTAGTTATTTTTTAAAAGTTTCAGAATTTTGTCTTCTAAAGAGGATTTCCAGAGAAGATAATGGTGAATAGAAAGGAGTATAATGCTATCACGTTATATTTATAGGTGTTGCAATACATGGCTCTTTACTTGCTTATTCATTTATTCAGCCAATCAGTCTGTAAAAGTGGAGTGAGTACAATAAGTAAGCACTCCTGTGAGCCAGGTATCATGATGACTCTAGGGTAAACATGAAACTTGATCTCTCACCGACTGGAGCAGTAATGTTGTGATTGGGAATAATATAAGCCCAGAACTAAGTAAAATGCAACACATACTCATAGTGTCATAGCAGAGAGAAAAATATTCAGCATCTATCAAACCTAGTCCTCTTTCAGTGTTCCTTATTAAAGAGAATGGAAACCATTCAATTTTGTATGTCAGATATATAGGAAGTAACAGTAATGTCTCGCTGTATCCTAACTTCAATTCTTAGCCATTAGCAAGTTTTCCATAATTCATATTCAGTTTTTTTCCTATTTTTATGACTTTACTCCATCTCATGTGTTTCTGTTCAGGTTAAACTTAGGATCATCTCTGACCCCACACTATTATAGTAACCTCCAAACTAGACTCCCTACATATGCTTCAATGAGAGTAATCTTTTCAAAATGCAAGTCTGGTCACATCATCACTCTTCTTAAACTTCATGAGGGTAGAGTTTCTGTCCCTGCAGTTCATTATATCCCTAGCAACTAACACGTCATCAGACACAAAATAGGTGCTCAACAAGTAATTTCAATGAATGAATGAATGAAATTGGGAGAAATATTTTAATAGAATTCTCAAATATCAGGATATTTTAACCCAAGTGAGAGACATTATTCTGCCCATCCTAGCGGGTGTTGATCACACAGAGAGGCTTTCAGAATTTAGACTGACAAAATACCATTAACAGTTCATAATGTGTCCTAAGCATATATGCTTATTTTATGCATATGTGTGTATGTAGCTAAATCTGTGAGGACAATATTTTCTGAAATATATATGAGCATTTTCATCCAAAGCTCACTTAAAGGGAAATAGATGAAAATTATGTCACAAAGAATGCCACTGGTACTGTAGTAAGCCCCTAGTGAAACAAGGAAGAAGTTTCCCTATTTATAGTGTAGCAATTTGGCCATTTATTATATAGTCAACCTTTCCCTCCCAAATAGCACCCCAATTTTCCTTCTGCTACTTTTAGCCCTTGCTGATTTGATGGTTGTTGACTCCTTTCCCGTTTTTGGAATTAAGCATTGCGTTTCTCTTGCCCTGAGTAATTGTTTAAGGGAGGGGCCGCTGGCACCATCAGAGCCAGTGAGCTGTAATTAGATATCCACTGGGGCTACAGTACTTGAATTCAGAGATTGTAAATATGAAGCCATTGTATCCATTTTGGCACCATGATGGGAATTCCTATCAAAGAATGGAGCTAGCATAAAGAATGCAGAGCTAAGTGTTTAAGAGAGATAAGGTCCTCATGGCATTATATGAACTCCAAGATCTTGGCAAGTCTGAACCAGGACTGTTCTGTATGTAAGCTAGTGAAGTCTTTTTTGAATCAGCTTGTTTGGGTTGATTTTCTGCCACTGGTAAACAAGAGAGCCCAAACTGGTACTCACAGTACCATGTAGCTTCCATATTCCCAGGGTGGCTGGGGTGTAACACTTCCCTGGGTGGCCGAGATGTAACAGTTCATCCCAGGCAACTGGCTTCAGCCTTGAAATGTGATAGATTGTATTCTGGCCTGGGACAGGGTTTCTTAGTGAGTCAGATAGGCTGTAACCACAGAAATGAAACTAGCCTCTGCCTTACAGACTATTCAGTGGCACTCATCTAGTTTCTAATAACAGGTTGCACCTGTTATTAAGAAGTGTCTCATGGCCAAAGAGACTTCCAAAGTGAGCACCTGCCCAAGACAAAAAAAAGTGACAAATATTCAAAGTGACAGAGCATAATTCTGCCTAACAGAAACCATTGATTTATGACTTCTATTGAGTAAACACTCAAACTAAGGCCTCTGTGCACATATAGCAACCATGTTAGAAGCAGAGACAGGTTTTAGAGCCAGCGACTTTAACATTTTATGATGTGTTTTAGGTAAAATCCAACCCCTTTTTTCTTACTCTCTAATTCATTCTTCCTTTTATTAGTTTATCTATTGAATATTTTCCTTGCTCCTGTAGAGAAAGAGGGGCCAACTAGGGGCAGTCCATACTGTAACATAAGGACCAGAGGAAGATCAGCAATGGTCTGACAGCTACTGAGCTAAGCCTAGTCTAGCTGCCTTTGACACTCAGGATGGTGAAAAGATCAAGACAGCAGTCATGTCACTGTATCTGCCTCACAGCGGTTGTTCATGAGTGAAATGGTGTCTAAAGAGGGCTCCTTGATCAAAGGAATTTGGAACATGGGTGGATGAGGAGGGAACCACAGGTTGGTGAAAGAGTAGAAGCCAGAAGCTTGGCTGTTTGTTAACTGTTCCATCATGGTGCAGTGCTTTCTTACAGAAGCTCTTGTCAGTATATCCTTCAGAGTGCTATCAGTATGAACTTTAGAAATCATATATGTGATCCATACTCAAAGTACTGGGGATAAGTGAAATTATAGACATTCTTGCTATCTTCATGGGTCTTATTCTTGAAATACAAATGATAATCAAAAATAACCTGAACTCAGTCCAAGTGTAAAATACAGGAAACATGTGATATAAAATCAGGAAAGTGGGTGTTTTAGTTGGGGAATTTTTCATGAAAGAGGTTAGATCTAAACTGTGACTTAAAGGAAGGGTGGGGATTAAATATGTTGAGAAGAAAGAAAAGGATTTCTGGTTGAATCCTTACATGACAAAGTTCAGGGGAAAACAAGTAAGATGTTTGTCACGTGGTGAAGGTAAAGAAAAGAATTTGTAAAATAATCTGGCTTTACCAAATTTGTAAAATATTATTTAGAAAGAACCACGTAAGTGTTGTTCTGTTTAATTCAACATCATAGCAATAGTTTCTTGTAAATAAATTACCTGAGGGAAAATATATGGTTTTAATTCATATTTGGAAATTTTTAGAAACTAAAAAGTATGGAGTTAGTTTATCATTTTTGATGATCTGTTAAACTTACCAGACCCAGAGGAATTCCAATTATTCTATTAAATTACTCTATAATTGAACTAACATCTCTACTCTCAATAAAATAGGTTCTAATGTCGAAAGCAGTGTGTGAGCTATTGCTGAGTGTCTTAATGGCTCCTGTGTTTGCCTACATACTCTCATGCTAGTCTCCAACTAATTACTTTGTAAAGCACTTTAGGATAATTTGGTTGTGAATAGTATTGTATAAAGCAAA